GACGTCACACAAGGTCAACATTGCAAAAGTGACGCATCTTACCTTGCAAGGAGTGCATCAAATCACGATTCTGTGTGCTTGAGATAGTTGGAGATCGATTTCGGCGCCAGAATAGCAGTTTTCATTTTTTCCCCATTGACTTATAATGGTGAGGTCACGAAAATGACTTGACCTCATATGACCTTAAGGAAAAATCCGAGACACACAAGTTGTGAGACTCATAATGGATACTAGATCCTGCAAGTTTCATTTCCCTGTGACATCTCCTCTGGCAGTGAGGGCGTTGCGAAGTTGCGACATCTCAAGACCGTGCAGAGGTTCACTTATGACGTCATAGGTCAGTGTGACCTGACCTGACCAAAAAATGCGGTTGATGTCAAAAGATCTGGCTTGAATCAAAGGTCAAGTATGACAAGTTTCAGCTCTCTATCGCCAGCGTGTTCGGAGCTATCGCGAAAAAAAACCTATGGGGGGGGGGGCACCCACCCCCCCTCGGCCGGCGTGGGTTAAGTATGACATTTTTCGAACATCGCTGTTCTAAAATAAAAATTAGCTCATTGGGGTAACCCCGGGCGATTGGCCAAGCTTACCCCTAACCGAGAGCAATGCCACTAAACCACTGTTTTCTATGAGATAACATGACAACATGATAACATAATAACATGAGATGTAGGTAGGTACTGAATAGGTTTGGTTTACACCTAGATCAAAGATAAATTTCAAAAATAAACATGTTATCATAGACAAAGCCTCTTCGGCCTGTCGCTCTATTCCAGTGCCTATAAATATCAGGTATGGATGAAGGGCGATTGCTTGCCTGATTTTTACTGTAAAATATGGGAGATATCCGCTCCATTTTAACGGTTTTTAGTTACCCTCCATCAGATTATATCAATAAGTGATTAAGTTTATGTTTGTATACTACAGGAACAGTCATGTCACTTGAGGTCAACTACATAGGGTCAAACTACGTTTTTGCAGATAACGCGACAGACAATGAAGCTAGAGCTTCAAAAATGGTGTCGTTGTGTTCTTCTTCATCAGTCGAGTCGAATGATATGCAATATGATGCATTTATGTAAATAAAAAAATTAATTTTAAGGAATTTTGAAATACACATTTTTTTGTCAATTTTGCATCACGATTTTCATCGACCTATACTGTATATGTGGTAGACGCTAGCTAAAATACCAGTAGTGACATAAACTCTAAGATGTCCAGGGCTAATCAGTACCTAAACCCGCGACCGCCTGGAGGGGGGGTCGGAAGCGACCCACCCCCCCTCCGTTTTTCTTGAATAACTCATGAACCGCTTACGCTATTAACTTGAAACTTGACATACCTTTTACCCCATCAATTTGACGTCTCCTGTGTAATTTTTAAGGTTTTTTTTTTAATTTTTGAGATATATTGATTTTAGTGATGTAACTACATGGCGTTTTCAGTCAAAAAGTGGTAAATGTTTAAAAAATCGCCAAAAATCAAGGTTTAAAGCAAACTGCAAATTAGGGACATGAATAGACGCAGCTCAACGGGTTCTTCAAAATGGCTATCTCGGATTTTCCATAAAATGCGTTTTTTACCCCTAAAAATTCAAAAAACTATATTTCTTGGAAAACAGCTAATAAAATCCAACATTTTGAGAATTTCCAAAAAAAAACGGAATATATGTTATAGAGCTCTATTAGAACATTAGATGTCCCAAATTTCAACTTTCTACCTTGATTTTTGACCCCCAAAGTGTAAAGAATAGCTCCAACATGCATAGGGCATGGTGACGTCATAAGCATATTCGTGAATTAGAGGCACTTATAAACATCGCATGTGAAAACAAATGGCACCACTAGATTCCTGGGACAAAGCTCGTCTAGAAAAGTGCATTTTATGTCAAAAATAAAAAGTTGAAAAATTGACCTTTTTTTAGCCCTCGTTTAGTTATGTATGGTAGGTATAAATGATTTTTTATGCTTTCAATGCACATTTATCACCAGCACAGTGACTTGGGGTCACATATAACCATTACCATCATATTCGGCGTGAAAAATAAGCCATAAAACATGTGTCGCACGCCCATGTAGCAGAAAGTGAAAACCGTGACCTTTCGTGACCTGACCTGACCTTGACACGTACTTAGTATGACCCCTATACGCACATGGTACCTTCACTAGGCCTTTGAGGTCATTTTTGGTGAGTTTCGAGCAGCAGCTATCGATTCCGCTGTCCGTAAGCCTAATCATGCAAAACCCCAGAATTTGACCTTTGACCTGACCTTGACCCGAAAGTTGACCTCAATCTTAAAATCTTAAGAGTGCTTTGGGAAGGTCTCGTAGAGACCTTTCGAACACCGCCTCGCGGGGCTCGATACGACCATTGGTTCTCGAGATAACAGGGGGGGTCGGATCCGACCCCCCCCCCCCCCAGGCTGTCGTGGGTACGGAAATAGCCCAGGCGGTGCCGGGTTAATATTTCACTTTCCGTCAATATTTGGAAGACACATAATGGTTTCACCAACTCGATATAAAGCGCTGGGGAGGTGGCCGGCGCTACCCCTATGCCGGGCTTACCCCAGAAAAATTAACACTTTTTTAAAACTCGATTTTCTCAACCTTGTACTATTTCCACGAAACCGATTTTTTGGGAAAACACGGCCAATTAACTTATCTACATAGCTAACAGGATATCAACATTTAATACAGCACGTATGGTATGTAATAAAAATGAAAAAGAGATTACTATGCCGGGCTTCCCCTATACGTTCGCGGCTGGAAAAACACCAATACGGGCGAGGGTTAACCCGCGCGGGGCTGGGGTCTCCAGCCGAACGCGCGGGGCTGGGGGGGGGGTAAATTTTACCCCCCCACCCTATTATCTCCCGAACTAATGGTCCGATTTGGAAAATTCAAACGCCAATCGAAAGATCTCATCACGAACAACTAAAAACATGTACTTAATTTAAAGTTTGAGGTCAAGGTCAAGGTCAGGTCAAGGGTACAAATTGCAAGTTCCTACAGTATCGGCCTTGCGACGTAATTGCCGAAGAATGGAGTCATGGACTAAGACTGATTGCCCAAAACGTGTTCTTAGGCTACCAAGACAATATTCGTTGCATACAATATCATTCAGAGGTCAAGGTCAAGGTCAGGTCAGGTCAGGTCAGGTCACCAAAAACAAAATATAGAAAAGGGCATGTGCGACACATGTTTTATGGGTCATTTTACTCATAGAATTCAATAGGCACACTCAATAAGTGATATGGGCCACCTCTGGATGAATTTCAGGTCGAGGTCAGGTCAAGGTCAGGTCAAGTGAGGTCAAATTTTGAAGTTGGTTGTTAAGGCCTAAAAAGGTGTCTATCTGATGCAGTTTATCACGGCGAATCGAATGGAGCTATTTTTGTTTCCGTACGAGGTCTACAACTTCCAAAAAAAAAAACATTTTTTTAAATTTTTGTGTGTCGTGACATAAAATTTTGAATAAATCCCACATTTTTAACCGATTCTTCTAAAAATTGGTATGTAGGTGCACATAGACCACTTCTCTGACATATATTCCGGTTTTTTCGATACACTCAGAATTTTGGATTTTATAATTATTTTCCCAAAAAAAATCAGTTTTTTGAAAAAAATTTGGTCCAAAATCCAACATTTTCAAAAAACCGAGATAGCCATTTGATAGACAAAGTAGAATTACGGATAACCTTTTTGTTACGTCTTGATTCCTTTAAAAATGAAGATGTTAGCGGCGTTTGAAATTTTGCCGTTTTTGAGGCGAAAATGGCGAACATGACGTCACTAGAACGTCAATTTCTCAAAAATTTTCCGACGGATTTCGCTCAAATTTTCAGGGAACGTGTCAAATTGATGTAAAAAAATGTACTGAAAGTTTGGCGGCGCTGCGCGCCGCCGTTTTCGAGATATTGCAAAAATTCGCGAGGGGGGGGTAAAATTTCCCCCCAGCCCCGCGCGGGTTAACCCGCGAGTTGCTGGGGGGTGTTAAACGTCCCCACTTTTTTCGCCGGGCCATAGCATAAAAACGGCGCGCCGCAGGCGCGCCATATTTTGGGTACCTGTAGGGAATTGATTGAAGTTTATTGTGACAAAGTTTAAAAAAAAATCGGTCGGAAAATTTTTGAGATATCGAGGTTTTGGTGACGTCATGATTTCTGAGTTTTCGACCAAAAACGGCATATGTTCAAAAAATCATATAAAATCACAGAATAGACATAAAGACATGCCGTAAACGCCATTAAACTGCCAATACCATGAACAATCAAATGGCTATCTTCGATTATTGATTATTGTTCCGCATTTTCCAAAATCTTGAACTGAATCTTGGCAATTTCTCGTGACTATTTCACGACCATGATACGTGCATTTCTTAAATTGAACTTTTTAAGCCAAACACGTACTTATATGATAAAATGAATGTCACCATCGTGTTCTACGCCCCAAATTACCCATAAAACATGTGTCACAGGCTGCGAATATCAGTTTTGATTTTCGGGGATATTTGCCTGACCTGTCAGGTTGACCTGACCTTGACCCTGACCTATGCTTGACTGACCCCTACATGGAGCTGACACTCTTGTAGGCCTTATATGATGGATTGTGCACCGTTTTGACAGAGTTTATGACGAGAGGCGCCCATTACGAAGTCCTGAAGTCCATGCTACTGAAAGCCCGATTTCAGGTGTTTGACCTGACCTTGACCCGACCTGTGACCTCAAAATTCATCTTTAAAGTACTCATCTGAAGCGTCTCGTCGCGTTATTTCGTTTGCCGCCTCGTGCGTTTCGCTGCGCCTATTGGTTCTCGAGTTATCGGCTGGGGGCGTTTAACGCCCCCCCCCCCCCCCTAGCAAACCGTGGGTGGCAAAATACCCCAGCAACTGCCGGGTTAAGTGACTAAGCGATGCTGGCACCAGGAATGTGATGTCAAAATGATTGTACATGACATGCACTATATCCTCTTATTCGACTTCTCGATGCTTTCATGACTTACGCCCCGATGGCGATCCACCTGACGCCCTCGGTGGCAGCACATGCTGCCAAACAGCCGACGATGTCCCGCCTTGCCCGCTCTGTCTTCCAAGTGACGTGTCTTGGCTTATCGTGCTCCCACGACACACTCATATTTCCTGAAACACAATGGCCGTTTTCACGACGGGCTATCTAGCGAATGCACCTAACTTGACCAAATCTGCACCAAATCTCTTTTACAATAAATATCTTCGTATCATGAATTTATTTCACGATTTTACTTAAAAATAATGTACAAAAAAGAAAAATGAGGTGTATTAGCATCTGTGCAATCCAAACGAATAACCTTTATAAAACACATTGAACCTAATTTTACCAAATCTGCACCTAATGTGCACCAAATGTGCAACCAGGTAGCCGTCGTAAAAACGGCTAATATGTTATAGAAGAATTATTGTAAATTGACTATCACAGCAATCCAGAACTGAGATAAACTTATCCATAGCCTGTAAAGCATTCACAGAAGGTTACGCAGCATGCAAGCAACGCATGAGTTGGTAGATCTTACCTTTTAGCAAAAATTGTATGGCCTTGGTCCAATAACCGACATCGAGAACGGCAAATGCGTTGAGTCCAACGGTCGGATGATGGCAGGACTCCACTGGTAGAGCTGTGATGGATGAGGTCCTGTTGCTAACAGAGCAGTGACACCCGTCTCTAAACGGACAGAAGGGGAGAGCAAGTGAAAGAGCGAGAGAGAGAGAGAGAGAGAGAGAGAGAGAGAGGGAGAGAGAGCGAGAAAAAAAGAGAGAGAGACACACACACACTCTCGTAGTATTTACCTATTCCCTTTTGACATCAGGCAAGGGAGGGGATATAATTTCATGAACTTTGACGTAGACAGTACGGGAATCGACGTAGTAGACGTAGACTCACGTAGAATCACCAGTATGACTCCGCTCTGAAGCCTGATTTAGATAAATTGCAGCCAGTTGCTATTTGTTTACATTTTTCAACTCACTCCTATTCCGACATATGGCCACTGCTAGCTTACATGCACCAACGCATTTACAGACCGTTTATTCAACCCTACCTTCCAAAAGCGAGGTGTGGAGCGTGTGTCTTCCCACAGGCGAGCAAACACTGGCTGACCGTGGTGCCGGGGAGCTTGTTCCATCCAGTTGGCTTGGTACCGCAGCTCCATCCCACTGTTCAGAGCCAGACGAACCATGTCAAACACGTGCGATACTACTGAATAAGGCGAAAATGATTTCATGTGACGGATAATCAATCGATCTCATACCTATTGATAGATCATTTATAATTATATGGATAAAATCATAAAAATATCGCAGTTACGTAACACTTCCTAGTTAATCACCATGGATACTTTTTGAGTGATTATAGCCGTTTTCACGGCGGCCATCTGGAACACATTTGGTGTACATTAGGTGCACATTTGGTGAGGCTTTGGTCAAATTAGATTAAGCGTATTTCTTACTATAATAGCTATCAGCTAGAGTTGCACTATGGGCCTACATGCCTGCCTTGTCAAATCATTCGACATTATCATCGATTAGAACACTGAAATAAATTCAATATATGAAGATATTTGTTATCAAAGAGAGTAGGTGCAGATTTGGCGAAAATTACGTGCATTCACCAGATAGGCTGGCGTGAAAACGGCTTCCATCGCCCTAATTCAACACATCAGTTTTCATAGACGCACCTGTTTTGAACGTTTCTCTATCATGAAGGAGAAATCCCTCCTTTTCCTGAAGTCGTTTAGAGTTTTGATCCCTCACCCAGTCATAGACGTTGAAATCAGCGTTCTCTTCGCGAATGCTTCCACATGCGCATGTTGCTCTGTCAAGGGAGATCAATCGATGTTAATAAAATGCATCAGTCCCTATCAAATTTCTTATGGCGGTCTCTCACATCTTAACCCGCGCCCTGGTGGGGTCTATTTATAACGCGACCTGGTGGGGGGGCTATTTTTTGCCCCCCTCGTATCTCCGAAACTACTGGACGGATCCGCAAAATTCAAACGGCGTTCGAAAGGCCTGTCAAATTTGTCGAAGGAAACCAAATTTCATTGACCTCGGGGTCACCGATGACGTCACAGGTCAGGTCAAAGATGAAATGTTTCACCGTTCACGGGTCTTCTATAGGGAATGCGCTATAACACCGAGGAAAACGCATTTTGTCGAGAATCAGCGATAGGGCGTCAGATGCCTAGTAGATATGTTGCTATTAGAGGTCACTGACAATACCAGGTCAGGTCACAGGTCAGGTCACCAAGGGTCACAGGTCAGGTCACATGAGCCCAACTTTACTAAGGTTGTGTGATGCATGTTTTATGGCCAATTTTTCATTTCCAACTCAATGGTGTTGGTTATAAGACTATCAGGTACGGCTTAGGTCACTTTCTGGTGAAGTTCAGGTCAAGGTCAGGTCAAGATCAGGCCAAAAAAGGTCAAATTTTAAAGTTGCTAGTTTTGCATAAAATGGGTATTGATTCGATGCAGCTCGTCACGGGGAGTCTAATGGTGGTCTTTGTTTTGCGCTACGGGGTCTAGAATTGCTAAATATTGAGTTTGAAAATTTGACGTCATCAATTTTGAACAGTTTTTTCGCTATAACTTCGCCAAAAAAGAGATATCAATCTCAAATTTGGTATGTGGATGGAAGGCGGTAAGGACTATCACATATATTCCGGTTTTTGCGAAATTCAAAAAACTTTTTGGATTTGTCGATTATTTTATCTAAAAAAATTATTTTTTGATTTTTGGGGGTCAAAATCCAAAATTTCAAAAATCCGAGATAGCAGTTTTGTAGCCCTGTTGATTTTACAGCTTTTATGTTTTATCATTTTTCTGTATTTGAAAAGCTATAGGCCTGACAGCTCTTCCCGCGAAACCTTTTTTTGGGTCGAAAACGGCAGAACATGACGTCACTCTGACGTCATTTTCGGCCAACCTATCATAGCCTTTGGAATTTTTTTTGTCACAATATGTAAAATTGACGTCCGGGAGGGTACTGAAAGTTTGGTGACGATCGGCGCAGCGGTTCTGGAGATATATCGAAGAGTCTGGAGGGGGGGGGGCAAAAAATAGCCCCCCCCCCACCAGGTCGCGGGTTAACATTAATAGTACATGCTTGCATGACAAAAAGGCATTCAGGTCCTGCATGTCATCAATATCGTATTGATGTCCATTAGCCCTCACCGGCCGAGGGGGGGGGGCGGATGCCCCCTCCCCCCATAGGGTTTTTTCGCGATAGCTCCGAACACGCTGGCGATAGAGAGCTGAAACTTGGCATACCTGACCTTTGATTCAAGCCGGATCTTTTGACACCAACCGCATTTTCGGGTCAGGTCAGGTCACTGACCTATGACGTCATAAGTGAACCTCTGCACGGTCTTCAGATGTCGCAACTTCGCAACGCCCTCACTGCCAGAGGAGATGTCACAGGGAAATGAAACTTGCAGGATCTAGTATCCATTGTGAGTCTCACAACTTGTATATCTCGGATTTTTCCTAAAGGTCATATGAGGTCAGGTCATTTTCGTGACCTCACCATTATAAGTAAATGGGGAAAAATGAAAACTGCTATTCTGGCGCCGGGAACGATCTCCAACTATCACAAGCACACAGAATCGTGATTTGATGCACTCCTTGGAAGGTTAGATGCGTCACTTTTGCAATGTTGACCTTGCGTGACGTCATTTATGACGTCATCAAGGTCATATTAGTTTTTCGTCAATACCTCTGGATCAAATTGAGCTAGCGAGTCGGGGAAGCCACCCATGGACTCAGGAAGACCTGCCGAATCGAATGATATGCGACATGACTTCTTTCGACCAACTTCGTGACATGGGGGTGCTGACCTGACCTTGACCTGAGGTCAACACCCCAAGTTGACCTGACCCGAACAAAAAGTATATCATTCGACGCGCCTGAGCGAGGCAAACACGATGCTGCCAAAATCGCGGCTCTGCGGCCGTTTTTTGCGAAGTTATTCACCAAAAACTGAACCGTACCTTGGGGCACTTGACCTGACCTCAGAGGTCACCGGTTGTGCTACGACCTTAAAATCGGGTACCAATCTCTGCGTGACGTAACGGCGCACACGCTCGTTTTTTCCGCGACGCGCTAGCTCCACCAGGGGCGAAACGGCGAGGGGGGTCGTACCCGTCCCCCCCCCCCCTCGGCCGGCGCGTATGTAGAAAACCAATAGGTCCGGCGAGGGTTAGTCACCATTGGACAAATGGACAGGTCAGGTGATATTTGTTACGCTCCATAACATCAGACCTTTCTCTGAAGAGGACGTTAACGCAACTGACAGTGCCGAAGAACTCACGTGCCAACGATGACGAACCGATCGTGGCAGAGCATCAGGCAGTCCTGGAGTGTCACCGCGTATCCTGGAGAGCGCCACTGCAGCTCCGAGGGGATGTCCGACACCCACCAGAGCCGTGCCTCTGCCAAAGACAGTCTGCCAGCTCAGACTCACAATCAAATCAGACTGTTATAGACCTTCAGCTGAGAGGGATGTCCGATTGTCACCCACTATCGGTCTCTGTCATTGTATCTACCTCTGTCTCTGTCTCTGTCTGGCATCTATCGTCTGTCGTTTGTTATCTATCCTCTATCGTCTGTCTGTCTGTCTGTCTGTCTGTCTGTCTGTCTGTCTGTCTGTCTGTCTGTCTGTCTGTCTGTCTGTCTGTCTGTCTGTCTGTCTGTCTGTCTCTCTCTCTCTCTCTCTCTCTCTCTCTCTCTCTCTCTCTCTCTCTCTCTCTCTCTCTCTTCTCCTCTCTCTCTCTCTCTCTCTCTCTCTCTCTCTCTCTCTCTCTCTCTCTCTCTCTCTCTCTCTCCAAGCAGATAGCCGTGACTCACCTCGTGAAAATGAGTTGCTGATAGATACATTGAGCATGTTAATATTTGATGACTTGATTAATTTTAACGGTGTTTGAAACGATTTGAAGGGACGACATTGCCTTTCACGCAGCTTGGCTAGCTTCGGCTTGCATTGTTTGTTTTTCCTGAAAAAGTGAGCAGAATGGTGTGGATGCGATGCTTTTAAATGGAGAGTCAAATGACGAAGTGACCCGTTCAAGGACACGCTAGGAAGTCACCGTTTGCTGGACTGCCAGTTACGGTAAAGGCATTTTTCCGGTCTCGAATATTTTTTTCTCGACATCATAGCCATAAAAACAATTCAATGAATAGACCTTGTAACAAAAAAAAAACTTCCTTCATAAAAGCCCAACCATAGACCACTATATACCGGTATATAGTGGTCTATGGCCCAACATATTAAGTTTTTTCTCTTGTAAAACTGACTCAAAAACCATTTTAACTGAAAATATTGTCAACAATTTTAGGGTCAGTCACTTTAATTAATATTCCCAAACTGATTGATTTTATTTTTTACCTTCCTTCAATATTTATTTGAGTTATTACAATGACAGACAAATATTTTTAACAGACGTGTATAAAAGTGTAATATCATCTTCAATACATTAAATATATACGTTTAGCTGATGCATGAACAAAACTGAAATCAACTCCGCCGAGTTTGAAGTTAATTACATAACTGTCAACAACGATAATGTTGCGGCTTGTGACTAGATATTTTACCGGCATGCTTCCGTGATGTCCTTGTCAGCTGAATCCTCTTGTAACATAAGTATTGAGGAGAAGCCGTTGGGGCAGACTTGCTGAGACGATGTTTCATTTAGTGGTGATAATATCTCACCACGTTTCTGGGCTTTATTTGTCTGCATTTTCCTCTCTTTCTTGGAAGTTTCCTTAGCTGAAAAAGTCAGACATGCTCGTTTAGTATATTGTGTCACGGTAATTGCCTAAACCGAAAAGAACGTCCTTACAGAAACTGCACTTCTATGCGAGAGACATACAAGTAATACGGCCATCCAAAACTCTTACACGATACTTCTTCCATCAATTATTTGCGCTTTCATTTATCATCAGCTTACAGAAGCCAATTGTTTGGTGTGCAAATCGACTCACCTTTTTTCCTCAGCACACAATAGCGTACATCGGGATCGAAGATGTAGGAATTGCCACAGTCCTCTAGCGTAACTATGTCGCCCCTGCAGCGGAAGAACTTTTGCGAGTTGTGAGACACGGGGAAGTTCCCGTATCGCGTGACGCAAGGATCTGTGATAGCAAGGGTGAAGTCAGTGGACTTTGTATAAAAAATAGCGCTTTTTAATTAAATAGCTTTTATCGAAGCAATGGAACATATTTACGGTGGAAATAATGCGGTGCTTTTTATTGGTGATTTTCCTAGGCATATCTACGATTCCAATTATAATCATTAATTGCAATGTTAGTCATTATGATCATTTTTAGGTGTACTTCCTCCCACCGTTCGAGACATAGACGACTAATTAATGCAAAAATGGCAAAACTCTTCTCTGGCTGTGACTAGTGCTAACGTAATTAGGTAAATTGCTCCCAAGGAAATATGCCATACGACAGATGAAACATTGCTAAAGTGTTCGATGCTACGTTTTACAAATTGCAACATACCGATAAGTTATCAAAGAAATGGGGGGGGGGGCAGATAACAAACCGATGACACTTTTGTAAAAAAAAAACACTCAAATTAATTTGTTACGTCCTTACACTTTCTCATCCGGCTGTAAGCCATCACCAAACGGCTGCACTCATCTCCAACAACGCCTGGACCACCTGAAATAAGCTTGGATGAGTGACATTTGGTATGTCACCATATAGTCAAATTCTAGACCGGTTTAGGGACGACTCAAATGCAGTCGGGATTATCAACGTTACATCAATCCGCTTTACAACTACCGGGCTTCTAAAAAAAAGTTAGACGATTTTATAAGTAACGTATTGAAGGGTGTATCATTGTAACAAAACATAATTGGGTATCACCTAAAAGCCTCATCAAAGACATTTCGTTTGAGGGGATTTCGATCCTCGGCAGTCGCCTTTCTTAGCCGCACTGAGGTCATGTTCGAGATGATTCCCTTTTTGCTCGATGCACAGTTTAGCCCGGCGCAGCACGACCTCTGCTGCAGCACGACCCACGGAAAGCTACAGACGGCACACCGCTGACTTCACTGCATCCTTATGACCTTCGGAATTTTTTGGGTGGTTTTGGTACACCTGGGACTTGAGGTGGTGCTATACGAAAAAGTGCGGTGGCGTTACGTTCGGAGAATTCGCCGATCACGGGCGTGTCTCGAACCTCGAGATCACGCGCTGCCCGATGCGCTCCCACAGCCCCTCCCGGATTTCTTTAGCGGTATTGGTGTGGCGCTGTCTTGCTGGAACCATTGGATCTTAAGCGTTTCCGGATCTCTGCTCATCCTGATATTGCAGAACCCTCCAAAACGTCGCCAGAGCCACCCGATATCGCTGACCATTGACAGTCTGAGTAGCGCATCTCTCACACGAGTGGTGTTCGCCGTGAGCCTTTGATTGGGTTTATGGCCACCGCTGTGTTCCTTGAATTGCGTTAACCTATTGTTAACACTTCCTCGAGCCAGAAACTTGTCAATAATGTGGAAAATTGTGTTTCAAGATGCTGCTCTCTTTGCCCTAAAGTGTTTGCGGATCTTCCGTGGTATTGAACCGACCGACTTAGTCTGGAAAAGCATAATTTCACAAGTTTTGCTTTTACTTCCTAAGGCCACGGCTTCATTTTTTAAGCTCAAACCATGGTGTCATATAAATCTACGAAAAATTATCCGTTTTTCCACGTGCATTGATTTTGCTTAAATGTTGTTAGGGGTCCTCTATTCGCAAAATAAATCCGTCTAACTTTTTTGAGAAGCCCGGTATAACATATGTGATGACCTTCATTTTAATACGATATCTAGATTTGTTATGCAATACAAATATTACACCGTTGCATGTTTACAAACTGATTATATCACTGTGCTTGAAGAGGATTTTCTGCTTACATCCATGTACTAGAGGCCGACGATTATTGAATCCATGCCTCTTGATCTTCAAAAAGATAGAAAGCACCTGTTCACGCTCCGCCTGAGCGTTGGCCAGTGCAATAATGAATATTAGGCTTATGAATGCATCTGAGGAAAGTATTGGCATCAATTATACGATAATGATTGTCATCGCATCTTCTTATATGTTTCAATCACTCACAGCAGCAGATAAGTGGTTTGGTTGAAAATTACAGAAGAACAGATAACGTTGTGAAGCTGCTATCAATGGAGCAGTATTTCCAGCGTCGCTAGCAAAACATTTGAGTGTTATTCTTATAACTTGATGGCAACAGAGCATTGCAGAGTTTAAAATAAAATGTTATTCTTCATCTATAAGAATGCGGCTAAGAATCTATAAGAAATCTGCAAGAAATGCTATAAGAATCTATAAGAAATGCTATTCTTCATACAAGCGCCCAGCGCTTGTATGAAAAAAGTGTATCAATAATGTGTCATGTATCAGAAGAAAACGGATTTTTACTTACAAGAGTATGCCCTGCATGCTGTTTGTGTTCTCATCATTCTTATGACGCCAGCTGTGACACTCTGCATTTGATCTCCGAGGAACGACCTGTTAGCAATTGCAAGCATTTTAGCACGAAAATAAGGGTTCACATGAAATGTAAAGTTGATAAAACGACACTGAACGTTGCAGTCGGACTGGCTAACATTCTCGTAATTTAGGGATAAAAAAAATGAACTTGCAACATGACATTTTAAATTACAAACGCTAGTGAAATAGGAAATGCATATGCAAACACTAATCCCTTGCTTGAAAACCTAACAATGCGAAAGCAAAACAAACCAAACCAGCGGTTCGGGTCACCTCACCTGCACTCTCTGCACGTGCTGCCTGCAGTGGGACAGAGCTGGTCATGCAGCGCCGCACCGCAGCACCCCGATCACCCTCCGGACGTGGGCGGTGCGGGGCAGCTCACCTTTGCCGGCCAGCAGAGGGGCGGCACCCGGGTGGAGGGGGGGGGGGGGGCTGACATTTCGGACCGGGTCACCGAGGCGATGACAGCTCGCTGGACGGTTGTGACGTCACTGACGTCAGTCAGCAGCGCCGTTACGGTATATCAGCTTGGTTATTGGAAAAAAGCGGGAAAACAGGTGTAGGGGGATTCGGGGTTATGGCGACACCATAAACATTTTTCATCATAACTCAACTATTTAGTTAAGTTCGACTATGCTTTTTGGTCCATTTGATTGCCAACGAAACAGGCTATGAGATGACAACCTGCTTTAGTACGGCAGGTAATCGATGAGACGTTGAGAGCCTGACGAAAAAAAAGTGGTGAAAATTTTACATGCCGAAACACGTTGAGCAATGCCTGCACGAGGTACAATAGCTGCGACCAACCCAGAAAATAAAGTGAAAATTCTGAAACGGCACCTTTCTTCAGCAGCAAACAGTTCGATGGCACCACGAACAGAGCTGCTTCTCTATACGGCCTTCAGCGCGTTTGTCATCGCTTCTGAAGGCCACAAGACCCCGTCCGTTTTGTTGACATAGGTACTTAGTTACGCGACGTCTGTAAGCATGAGAAAGTGTTATAATACCCGTTTTCACAACGGCCATCTGGTACACATTTGGTTCATATAAGGTGCAGATTATGTGCATATTAGGTGCATATTTGGTCAAATTAGGTTTATTGTGTTTCTTAACCCTAGAACGCCTAGGGGGGGGGGGGGTTGTATCAACCCCCCCCCCTGAGGTTTTTTCGAAGTGCACGCTAAACGGCTTGTCGTAGCGGGCTGACATTTTCAATACCCTCTGGGGCAACCTTTGCGCATCTTTTGCCGAAAAAAAATTGATCGGGTCATGTCAGGTCACGGAGTTATGACGTCATAAGAGGTACAGCCTCCGGCCGACAGTTACCAAACGTGTGCGCCGAATCCCTAGGTTTTCTGCCGGTGATACCCACATTGTTTGATGGATCATGATGAAACTTCCCATGCATGTTGGGGCAAGCATTGGCTACCGTGTGGTGCAAGAAAATTGACCGGGTCAGGTCAGGTCACGGAGTTATGACGTCACAAGAGGAACAGCGTCCGGTACTATTTTTGAAAAGCGCCCGAACCACTATTTTGCTAATTCTTGTCACCTCAATGGGAATATGCAGCAATATTAGCTTCTATAGGGAGCAAATGGACCTCCCAAATCCAAAAATACAATCAGATTTCAAAAATTTAAATTTTGATTTTTCGAATTTCTGCCGCCGACTGTGACCTTGCCGACTTCCGGCGCTCCCAACCCGCCATTTTTAGAGCTAGGGAAACGAAATACATACCAAACGATAGAGAATTGATCAAGGAACACGATAGTGAAGGTTTCAAGTCGATATCTCCCACCGTTTTGCCGCAATCGCCGCCGAAAGTTGAAAAAAGTCTATTTTTCCGAAAATTTGACCTTTGACCGGTCAAATATAGGTCAAATGTTGACCTAGGACCAAAAAATATACCACCAATCGCGAGATCTCGTTGAGAGCAATCCGTTGGTTTTTTCCGCTAAGCTCTACGACCTTCCGTTTCGAAACGCCAGGGGGGGGGTCGTAACAACCCCCCCCCCCCCTGGTTGTTCGTGCTATGAGAAATGGCCTGGTCGTGCGAGGGTTAAAAGCTGTCCGTTTGAGTCGCTCATAACCCTCATTTGTCAAAATAGGTATATATCACATTATTTTTGATGAAAACACAAATAAATTCATGATATGAATATGTTTGTTGTAAAAATAATATGCTGCAGATTTGGTCAAATTAGATTATCTGATAGACCTGGAAAAACTGTCCAGGGAAACCTAATTTTATTGACCTCGAAGTAACTGATGATGTCAGGGTCAGGTCAAAGTGAAAATTATCAGTATTTTGGCTTGTTCACAATTTAGGCTCTGGCCGCCGGCTCACAAGTCTGATCAGGCTCATCTTTGGTTAACGCACTCCTTGATATAGGCCTTAGATACCCTGAGTGTACTGAACTCATAGTTTGAATTTTCAGGTCAAGGTCAGGTCATCTTAGGTCACGTAAATTGTATATAATGTATCGGTCACGTGACGCATGTTTTATGGCCCATTTTACTAATAGATTTTAAGAACAATGTCGTCTGTGCCATTTCAGGTCATGTTCAGCTGAATTTACCGGAGGTTAGGTCATGCTTTCGGGTCAGGAAAAGTCAAATTTTGAGAATGAAAATTTTCAACAAAAAGGTGCTTATCAGATGCAGTTTGATCTCGGGAGCACGATTTTCAATGGCGGCGGAACACCTTCAATTAAAGGTAGAGTGCCAGCTTTCCTGGACCATATGGAGTTAATGACCGGGATAAGGAGAACCGGATTTTTAGAACTTATCCATACCTTCAAAACTCATGAAAACGTCTTAAATTCTTCAAATTTTGAGTACCCCAGTGCGAAATTCGCCCCGACGGGTTGTCGGTCGTACCCCAACCACATTTCACACCACTATGAACAATAAATGCACACACTAAAATCGCTATTACCGATAGGCTCATCCAATCAAGTTTCGATAAACCCGTTCATCATCATCTCCTGCGGTTTCGAACACGCCTGTTAGGTGGCTTCTGCTCATACTTTGTGGTGCGGTGGTGGTGCGTCGGGCCGCGCGCTCTGACTTCGGCCAAGAAAAATGCGTCAGCTGATCATTGTCATTTCTGCCAGATGGGTTCATAACTTAATAGACGGCTGTTTTATATCAATTATTTTACATAAAATCATATTTCAAACCATAAATTAATGTTCGACAGCCAAATAAAAGAAGCAATACCAATACAGGCTTACAGTTTAACCCGCGCCCCAGTGGCGGTCTCAGCCAACTTCGCCCTAGTGGGGGGGGGGGGGGGGGCATATGTTACCACCCACCTCTAACTCAAAAACTAAGAGGGATAGAAAGACGCGGTAAAAAGCAGTCGATAGCTCACAATGCGTACGTTTGAAAGTATTTCAGTCGTTTTTCATCTTAGAGCAATATTGGGGTCACCAGAGGTCATCAAAGGTCAAAATTTGCCAATGGTCATTATATTTTTCAGAAAACATGCCGTTATCTCAGGAACTATGGTAGCTAGAAAAACGCATGAAAAAGCAATCGATAGCTTTTAAACTCTTCTTTTGATAAGGTCATTATCAAAATTGACCTCAGGTCAACGGTTTGGCCTCCAGAGGGCAAAAACTCCAAAAATAGCTGTTTTTACGAAAAGCGTTTTTCGACAATAACTTTCGACTACAAAACGCCACGACATTTCTATTGCCAGAATCGTGTTCCTCTCGCCGAGACGCGTCGAATGAACTATAATTTGTCCTTGAAAGGTCAACTTTAAAATTTGACCTCAGGTCAAGGTCATGACCCGACCGGAAAAGGTCATGTTGCATATCAGTCGATGCGTCTCGGCAAGACAAACACAATGAGACCATCCCCAGCGTTCTATCTCTTTCCAATCGCGAGTTATTGGCAAAAATCTGTTTGTAGCCTCAAATGACCTCGGATGACCTTTCTAGAGGCTATCAGCAAAAATGACACCTTGGTCATCACGGGTGGTCCAAATCATTGTGATTCTGAAATATTTGGACTGTTCCTATGCGTACACACGGATCTAGAGGCATTTTCATTTTTCTCCATTGACTTGTAATGGAAAGGTCACGCCACTGACCTGACCTTAGGTCACGGATATAAAAAATCCGAGATAAACGAATTGTAGGCACCCATAATATCATGCAATCCACCAAGTTTAAAACCTTTCTGAAAAACACTGCCGGCTGGACATGACTGCAAACTTTTTTTTAGGCTTGGTCAGTTAACTTGACCTGGTGACCTGACCTGACATGACCTGGGGTCAAAAATTTCACACAATGTCCAAAATTGATGTACCAAAAGCTACGCCAAGCGGCGCGGCGCTACGCGCCGCGGTTTTTTATTCACACGCAAAAAACGTGACAGGGTGGTAACATATGCCCCCCCCCCCACTGGGGCGAAGGTTAAGTTCGACATTGTCTTGTCTACGATTAGACAGCTGATAACTCATTCCCGTAGGTCGTAACTCTATAATGACCTTTGCTTATTGTCACATGTGCGCCGCATTCGCGATTGCTGCCGACGCCTGTTTGCAGGTCAGCCCACTACAGTTGTTATACATATCGAAAAAACCGATAAACTTTTAGGCGAAAAAAACACTATTCCAGGCCCATTTTTGATTCTTTTGCGATATTAGGTAAAAACAGACTCACCTGGTTGACTCACCTGGTTGGGTTCCCAGTGTCAAGAAATGTAGATGGAAGGAAAGAGTAGGACAGACAGGAACCCTGAATCCTAGACGCGCCAGCCGAGGGAGATCTTTACTTGTGGTTGGCGAGCGCAGAAAGCTGGAATTTAGCGTCTTCCGTTGAGTCCGGCGTGTATGCATGTACAAACACACTGTGGTTTTTCACAGAGAAAAAAAATGAATGCAGTGCAGAGAGGCCGGCAGAATATGCAGCGCGCTAAAGTTTTGTATAGTTGTTCAAGTAACGTTAGACATAGGCGAACAAACTCCCATGCAAAGTGTCATGTAGGGCCTCCTTGAACCTAGATAGGTTTGGGGCACATACCACCTCTGCGGGTAGGGCATTCCAAATATGCATACACCTCACAGTGAAAAAACGCTTCCTGACATCTGTGCGTGAGTGCAAGGGAAAGATCTTGTGACAGTGACCTCTGGTGCGAGTTTGGGGACACAGGCTAAACAGTTCATTAGGAGCAATGCAAGACTTCCCATTGAAGATTTTCCAACACTGAATGAGATCAGCGCGTGTCAATCGACCCTGAACCGAATAAAAGTTCAGCTCCTGCAAGCGATCAGCGTAGCTCA